CCCCCCCCACTCTTTCTCTCTCTCTCCTCGGGCGGCCCGAGACCGAGAGGCCCAGCTCCTTTGTCCCCAGGGCCAGGCCCCTGGTGGGGCCCCGGGGGGCCCTGGTGGTGGCCGTATGGCCCCCGCTGCCTCCGCCCGCTAAGCAGGCCGTTGACCTACTTGTGCTCGAGTATCGCGTTGCTTTGGCCCACTGCTCTGCATCCTGCTCGCAGAACGGTGGACACACGTGCTTACTTGCAAAAAACAATCGGAACCGGTTCCGGCCGTTTTGTTTTGTTTTTTGTTTTCTTTAATATTCAAAAGCACCGTTTGAGTCATCACTCAAGCACACTACGGTTGTTGCGTATCGCAGACTGAGAAATGAAAGCCTTTTGGTGAGGTAGCACGCCACTGCCACAACACTCTACACGCTCTGCGGCTCCCCAGAGGAGTCGTGGAGGCGCGGCGGTCTCCGGATTTAATAGCTGTCTAGTGCTTTGCGTCTTGCACGCGTTTAAGGACCTCCAGTGGCGGGGACGCGGAAGTATTTCGGAGGCACGGAAATCTCCGTGTAATGAACTCAAATCCACTCCTTCCATACACTCAAAAAAAAAAGTCCTGCATTCGGGGTTACTTTAGCTTACTTCACCGGTGTTTTGTTCACGAATTTAACGAACACATTTTCCGGCATTTTCGACAGTGGAGCGAAATGGTCAGAATTCAAATGTTTCTATCAGGTGCCTGATTAACCCCCCGCTCACTTCTGTAGTACACGTGTGCGGGCGGGTTGCCTACTCGCTCCGCCCGTAAGGCGCCGTCGGCAGGGTCGATAGGCAAGCCCCCCCCCCCCCCCCCCCTCCCCGGATTCCCCCCCCCCCCCCCCCCCCCCCCCACCTCAACCTGCATCAAACACGCGTTGTATTTATACACCTCACAGCACATAGTCTGCTTTTCGTCCCGGAAGCGTTTTTCTGAGCGGATATCTCTGTTGTTCTTGCCTTCGATTTTTTTTTCTGTTGACTTTGTCCGGAGTGCGCGCTGCCGTCGTTATTGTTAAATCAGAAGTATGTGGGAAACTGGGTCAGCATTCTGCATGTTCGATACAGGACAGGAGGGAAAAATAAAAACCATAGGGAGGTGTCTATACACGCCTTTTTTTAAAACCATAAACTTTTTTTCTTTTGTCCCGATTCTCGCCCTCTCGTTTACTCCCCCTCTCGCACCACCCGTTAATATTTGTACAATCTGTCGCACCTACTCGCACTCACTCACACTCTCTCTCTCTGGTTGGCAGGGCGATGAAGTCAGCGTACGCGCCGTCCTCGTCCGCGGCGGGGGCGGCGGGCGCGGACGAGCACCAGCAGCACGGCGGGCTCGGCGAGGAGGAGGCGGGGGCGGGCGCGCCAGGCGCCCCTCGCGGCGCGGGCGCCTGGCTGTGCTGCATGCCGTGCGCCTGGCTGCGCGGCCACGCCGGGGTGCACCGCGCCGCCCTCACCTCCGCCACGCTCCTCGTGACCGCGCTGCTCGTCGCCTCCCCGGTCCTCTTCCTCATCACGTCCAAGCCCCAGGAGCGCAACTTCAACCTGCCGTGCGACGCGCCGGTGAGTAACCGCCTCGGCAGCCGCGCCGCCGCCGCCGGGTCGCGGTCGTACTTTCTTTGCCCCGCCTGGTTTGTTTTGCCTTGTTTTACCTTGTTTTGTGGCCTGTGTCGTGGCGGGACGCGGAGCTCGTTGCTTTGTGGTGGAGAGGCGGTGCCGTCGCTTCATTAGCAATTCGGGGGGGTCCGTTGCCGTCTCCGAGGAGTTTGTGTGTACGTGGATGTAGAGTGCTCTGGGATGTGAGCGCCTGCTGCAGCACCCCCCAGCCGCGCCGCCGCAGCGGGCTGCACCCGACCCGACCTGCGCCTTTCATTTGCGGGTTCCCCCTCCCCCTGCCCCTTTGCCTGCTCACCTCTCCCCAGGGCACCTTGAGACCCTCGCGCAGCC